TTAATTTTCAAACTTCATTTTTATCAAACGTATTCTTAAATTTAATGGATTCAAATTTTAACATGTTCGGATACGTTTGATGACCAAAAATTGAATATCTGAATTAATTAAGTAGCACTGAATCTCCTAGACAAAACTTGTTTTGAAAAATAAGTGATAAACTATTCACGTATCACTAAATGTGATATACTCAAATGCATTAGATTTGCAACTTAACAATTCAATAATTTAATGAATTCAACATTTCAGATTTTAGTTTTCAGATTTTAGTTTTATCAAATGCACCCTCAATCTATCTACTAGCTGAAGTTTGACTTTAGCCAATCTTGAATTTTAAGCCTAATCGAGCTCAAATAAAATTTTTTAATGATAAAATAGACTTTTACTTTAATGAATACTGTAAAAAGTAAATTACATAAATATATATTACTAGGCTTAGCTAATCTATAAGTCGAGTATCTTTTAATTCACATGACTATAAAAGTTAACCAGAGATATTTATGTCTGACTAGGTGTTGACCGAGTCTAAACCAAACATTCAATGAGCAATTTCTTTACACCCCTCAATCTCATAAAATTACCTCAATAATGCCAAGTTCAATCCGGTTGGAAATGTGAGATGCATAATGTTCTAATAAATGAATAACAAAAAAGGGTGGATTAGATTTACCCTCAAATGCAGAGGTGGTCAACATATGCTATTTGGACGAATCATTGTTTTCATTAACACTATATGAGTGCATTCAATACAACAACTTTCATCCCAAATCTCTTGTTATTCAATTTAATTTGGAATGTTTAGGTCTTTGATCTAATTTAACAATGAGGAGGAGATTTGAGATATGTGTATGTTTAGTTTCTTTAAAAGAAATCTTTTCACCCAAAAAATAAAAGAGAGGCAATCAAAAAACTTGCTTCTTTAGACAGATATACTACTGTTAAAGAGTGTTGATAAAACATGAACCTTACAAAAGATACAGAGGTGAGAAAAATAAATATGGTAACAAAATCATTTGAACTGATAATGGCTAAGAGTAGTGGTATCATATTACTGCTTTAGTACAAAGATAGAATATACATACATATGTATCTGTGTGTGTGTGTGTGTGTGTGTGTGTTAGCGAAATGGTTTCCCGAAAGCAAACCATCCACAGCAAGTTTTGAGTAAGAAGGAACCCATAACTTGAATAGAATTATAGACAATTCTCCTTGTTGCTTCAATGGAGCTTTCCCTGCCCATTCAAAATCCAATATTACAACATTTGGCAGCTCTTTTATCTTGTGCAGGCAAGGTGACAGGAAATTGCCTATACAAAATTGTTCTATACAAATTCCACCGTATATAGCAGCTAGAACTATCTGATGCGCGCAATGTCAGGAAATGGCTCTGTTGTTGCCTCACGTTTAGGCTTAGCCACTTCAGGAGATCCAAATACATTCCAGAATCGTAGTGTTTCATCTGCAGCTGCACTTGCAACAGTGTATCCATCTGGACTCTGAATCATGTGAAACAAACAACGATCAGTAAGATGCATAGACGGAAAAAAAAGGACAATGCAATTTAATTTTGTGTGGAAAACATTACTAAGTACAGATAACCATGAATACCTGAGCCATAGAGAGCACTCTAGATGTGTGACCCTGAAGCTCAGCAATCCTAGTCATGGAAGGATACTTCCACAGAGTGAGTTGGTTATCATTCATCCCATGAGAGCTCAAAATCTCGCGTTCATGTCTGTTCCAAAGCAAACAAGTGACCTGTGAACCTGCATTCACTGAGTTCAAGCATGCTCCAGTGTTGAAATTCCAGAACTTTATGCAGTGATCGCCCATGCCGCCACCAGATGCTAGCAGGTTACTTTGAAACGGACACCAGGCAAGGGCCTTTACTGCAGCTGTATGGTCTTCAAAGCGGTGGATCCATGGATTTCGAGAACCAGAAGATGAAGAAGGAGAAGTCATTGATATGCTCCATATGTGGAGCAAATTATCATTCCCCCCACTTGCTAATTGCTGTCCTGAAGAAGACCATTTCAACCCACAAACCTCCTGAGTATGCCCCCTGTAAGTCCCAATAATATGGGATCTAATTCTGACATCATTGTTTATGATCATACTGTCCATTCCTCCTGTTGTCAAAACATAATTATTCCAATCGAGTGAACAAACCCTTGCTCTGTGTCCTTCTCGCAATATCCTCACCTGTACCCAAGAGGAAACACAGAAGAATACACATGAGGAACCAAATATGAAGAAAGATTGAGCCTAACAATTCAACAAAGGGTGCTTAATGCAAAAAAAATTTGACTCAAGGACCGAAAAAGAACTTCGCATTCTGATGATTTTGCTTTCCATATTTAGAAGCATGACTACCTAGTTCGGCGGTAAAATTAACTAGCACTGCCACAAAATGCTTCCATAGAATCGTATAGATGATGTTACTTCTTTGTTTTCCTTTTTTCTCTATCATAGGGAATGCAAAGTAAATCCAGGACAAAGAAACTAAAGCAAAATCCGTCCACACAAAGCACGCACAAAAACTCGAATCTATAAAGCTGCATGCACATCATATATGAGCCTACATAGACCCTCATATAGTACTATGTGAAGTTTACACACTAATGGTTGAATCAAGAAAAAGGAAAAAAGTACGGAAATTGTACAAAATAGTATTTGGGCTTCTGACTTGTACAGCTTTTATGTGACAGGAATACAACTGCTTAGTCCAGGTCAAACCATCAATCAAAAGATTAAACCTTGAATATACTTACGGCCAAAGGGTTAAAAATTTATATTCAGTCAAAAATCTAATCACGGACATACTTCTGCAAAAAGAAAAAAACAACTTAAGTTTAACACTTCGCCAAGCAGTTCACCCAAAAACAGAAACTTTAAGATTGCAGTAAAATTGCCGCAAAAAAGAGACTTACCAAGCGGGAAGACTCAGAGTCCCATATTTGAATCTGTGAATTGTTCAAGCCAACAGCAAGATGCTTCCCGTCTGGTGCCCAGCTAACACTGGTCACTGGTCCCAAGTCTTCCTCGTTCTCCACAAGATGAATAGCAGATCCAGTATCTACATCCCATAAATAGATAGAATTCCCAAGACCGACAGCAATCACGTTGCTGGTGCTCCAATCCAACAAATTCAGATAATAATCATCAGTAATATCAGGAGCATCCAAGGTCCTTTCTGCTACCTGCATCATAATCAAACACAAAAAACAAAAACAGCCCATTATAAATTAGACAGTTTTCAATAACCAACATACCAAATCCACCATTTAAAAAAAAAAAAAAAAAAACTCACCTGAGGAATCCTCCTCCTCTTGACTGGTTTTTTGGGTAAAAAAGCTGGTTCTTCAAAGCTCTTCTCCACAGAAGATGGGGGCTTATTGCTGAAAGCAAGAATCCTTGTCCTGTTCATGTTAAAGATATCTGCAAGATGCTTCCTATAAGCTTTTTTTGATGGAGAACAACATGGCGAATTTGTACTACTATCAGTTTCCCTCGTAACCTTTCCTCCATTCAGCATATAATGCGCAAAATCAAAGTCCATAGCAGAGCGATTAGGAATGTATCTATCCAACTGCAATTTCAAGAAAACAAGAAAAAAATCAAAACCCTCCTGAATCCTACTGATCAAAACCATAAACAAAAAAAAACCCAAAAGTTCAAATCTCCAAGAATTACTTGTAATTCAGTAATAAGGCACTCAAGGGTCAAAGAATTAAGAGTCAATTGGCTTACGTTTTCATCACAACGGCTTCTTTTGCGCTGAATTGCTTCATTCTTTGTAGTACGAAATCTTAAATGATCGTCCTTTTTCTCTGCATCCATAGTCGAATTCTCACATCGAGGGACAACAGATGCTAACGATCAAAATTAACGTATGAAAATTTTCCAATTCTTGATTCACCCGAATGAGAATGAGAAAGACTGAAAGAGAGAAAAGGAAAGAGCGTTGCAAGTAGAGTAGGTTATGGAAAGTTAGTGTAACGGCTACATTTATAGCTTTGGTTTCGGTTTGCTGTGGAACGAGAAAGTCATGTGAAATTACCATATTGACCCTCCGGGGATGAACAGGGGATTTTTTGTTTTTTCAAAAAAAGTTTTTTGTTAATAACTACCAAAGTTTACACGAATTAATAATTTTTTGTTAACATTCTCGATTTAATTACATATTTTTGAAACATTTAACAATTGACCCCAATTAAAGAATGCTATAGTGAAGAATATTTTTGAAAGTCATGTTGAACCTTTTTCAATTTCCTATACAATTCTACTTGAGCTCATTTAGCTATGAATAAGATTAAAATGCCTGTTATCACGGATTTTGGTATGTGGAAAAGGGCTTATGTTTCTCATTTTCCATTTTTATTACATATTTGTTGACAAATAATTATTAACAACTTCTAAAAAAGTAACTTGTAAAACTTCAATTCTTTTGCTTTTAAAGAGAGAATGGAATGCTAGATACTCTTCTAAGAATACCAATATTAATAATATCTACCTGTTTGGTAGAAATATATATTTTTTTTTAAATCTCAAACATGTTTTTTCCTGTTACCTTTTTATCTTAGAACGCATACATTAATCAAGTTTCTACATTAAATTTTTAAAAAAAGATTCTAAAAATACTCTTGTTTCTATAAAAGACTACCAAAAAAATACTCAAACACTTGTGGTTTTCTCTTTTGATGCTAAAATATGAGTTTTGATTTTTTTTTCTCCCTTTTTACAGTTTCAATGGGGTTTTGTTTTCGCCTTCTTATTTGCTTGTCATCCTAAAACACAGAAAACGCTTACACAGGGTTTTGTTTTTCATCCTAACAAAACAGAAAAAGGCTTTGAAAAACCCCTTTGACGCATCCATAAATCTTAATTATGAAAAGAGAACAGGATTTCACTTTCAAGAAAAATTAGTAGCCAAAGCTTTATGAACCTTATTTGTCCCCTAACTGACTGAAATAAGGAAAATGATCGACTTAAAAAGGCTATGGGAAAAGAAATGTCACAGTATTTCTTTCACACATATGATAAGGATGTTCAAATCGCAGATAACAGATTGCTTCAACCCTTTAACACATTCTTGTAATTCATGAAAGTCAAGACTAATTCTATTTGTACCTACAGACACCTAGCTCTAAAGATCAGGACAGTTAAGGGTGTATATATGTATATATATAGATACATACACACACACACACACACACACAACCCTATCTCTATATGCCTCATTTGTAACAGAGTGTGCAAAAATGGAGTAGAATCCAAAATTGATTTACAGTTTGAATGCCATCTCATCCATCCTCAGGTGTTTGTGAACTCCTAAGATCAGTGTGACTATTTACTGAATGTGCAAAACAGTAAGCTCCTATGGTGGCAACCAGGACTCCAAGAACTTGAGAAAATAGCTGGAAATTAGCAAGCAGCTCACCCCGGATCTCACTCTCCTTTGAACGGCATGCTATTTGGTCTGCCTTGAGCCAGCAGCCGTTTGGCATCATCGGACCATACAAAGTGAACGCCGTTTGGTAGAACCAGAGGCCTTGAAGAGTTATGACAATGCCATTAAACAAATCCACAGGGAAGCTAGTTGGCATTAGGGCTCCGGCAACCGTAGAGAAAATGCAGAGGCCTATGAGGATAACGAGTATGAGGTGGTAATATCCCTCAAGGCCCTGATGGGTAGTCGAATGAAAGTAGAACAAGAAATACTCGGCACAAAATGCGGTGGAAGCAATCAAGCACAAAGCTCCATCTGGCAAGGGAAGATAGCTGAAGGAATAGACAACATATTAGCTATTTCAACATGAAAAAAGGAAAAAAAAAAGACAGAAACTAGAAAAGAGATCTCAACATCTTAAAGACAAGCATTAGGTTGTTTGCTTTTTCTTTTCTTTTCAGTTCATCATCATTTTTCACATTTTTCTTTTTTTTTTTTTTTTTTTACCAATATTGATATCCCAAAGTCAATGATAAAATTGAAAACTCCCTAATTTGGAGTGTAATGGCCCCTCTTTCTTTTTGATATTGAAGACCAAATATCAATGGTAGAGTCAAATCCCCCAACTTGTAATTCTTTCTTCTTCTTTTTTTCACTCGTTTTCTCTATTTGATGTCCCTTTCAAAATTTTGATCATTGCCATTTTTTTCAATTCTCAAATCTCCTTCCCCAGTGTGGGGGTGCGATCATAAGTGCTTTTGGAACGAACCACCAATTTAGGCTCAAACGAGGATGCAAAGGATGGATAGTGTGTAGATAGTAGAAACGATAGCCAAAGTATCATTCTTATTTCTCATGACAACCAAAGTAAAGAATAGCCCATTGGGAAAATCCACTTCCTTTTGACATTTGAAAATTTCATCAATGTAGGGTTGTGATCACCAAGCTCTTATTTGAAACAAAATTGTGCTTGCGATGGTTCAAAAAGGAGACGGAATGATAAAAACTGTATGAATAGAGAAATGAAAGCCTAAAGCATCATCCCAAATTCAAAAAAATAAGAAGTAATGTACATTTTTGCTTTCACTCAGATGTGGATTGAATCTGGTTAGACACAGGACATTTTCACGGTAAAAATTGTCTCACTTTGAAGCTAGTCAACCAAGTGCGACTGATCTTAGAGGTTCAATAGAAGTGGACAAAAAATGAAAAAGAAAAGTGTCGGGGTTGATCTTTTATGAAACTATCAAATTTGAATGACCCCTCTTTATTTTCGACTGCTCTCATTGAATAGTTTAGACCACAAATCTAGTGTATGCAAAGAATTTTGAGAATTGGACATACACTCATGAATTTCGAACAAGAGGTCAAAAAATTTCAATTTAGCCTTATTTCTTAGGATTCATCATGAAATCTCCCAATGAGAAAATAAAGAATGAGTATATACAAAACAATAGTTGTCTAAATAAAAACTTTATTATTCAAATGTTTGAAAATTTCTGAAATATAATACATGTGAGAAAATAAAAATCTCTAAAGAATACACTTTCAAATATATACACACTTTCTCTTTCTATCTTTTGAGACAAAATGTATTAGAAACAATGAATCAAGAGATTTTTGAGATGCTTTACACTAGCATTTTCAAATGGATTTTTCATTCTTTTTTTTCATTTTTTTTTCACATTGTAGGATCTGCCCAAGAATCAAGTAACATTTGTAATTTTTCAAAATTTATTAGACCCAAAAATATTATCAGATATAGGAAAAATATTTTTTTACCTTGTTAAAACAACTTTTATAAATGCAGGGGAGGGGAAAAAATAAAAGCAAAATACCCAGAGTTAGTAAGCAAAACTGCAAAATCGGTATGCATGTCCTATGGGGAGCCCTTTTATGCCAAGGGTTGGCCTAGCATGAAAAATGCAATCCTTGGGTAGGCACCATACAATACCTGATGGATCCGATCGACTTATTGAGATTCAATGAAAAGACAATTTTGAAAAGACTGGATAATTGGAGTGACAAGAGAAATTTGTCCTAACAAAATGAGGACAAAGTCCGAATGGATTGATTGCTTTGATTGACACATAAAATGATATCAAAATCAATTTAGTGTATAAAACTTACTTTTGAAAGGATTGAAATGTCTCGACTAATTTCTTCGGTGAACCATAGATCGAAACTTTAAAAGAGAATAAATAGGTTAAATGAATCGAATGAAATTGATGGTTAGTTCAAAAATTGACTGGATTATCCTGAAAGTGAATAAAACGATCCAATGGATTGGATGAAATTGAGAATTTATTCAAAAAAATAAAATTGATTAAATGAATAATGAATTGAATGGAATTGATGATTTATTCAAAATTGATTGTATTGTCCTAAAAATGAATAAATTGGTCAAATGGATTGGATAGAATTGACAGTTTATTCAAAAATCGACTGGATCACTAGCCAAATGAACAGAATGAAATTGATGATTTATCCAAAATGAAATTGAATGAAAATGAAATTAAAAAATGAGCAAAATTGTAAGGATCGAATGATCTATGAAAAAATCGATTCAATCATCTTAGATGTAAAAATGGAATGAATGAAATTGATGATTTATCAAAATCGATGGAATTGTCTGCCCATTAGTAGTTTAAAAAATTCATTGTGATTATTAGTCTATGAGCCTTCGAAAATCAAGATTTGGCCTTAACATACTTATCATCTCAACAATGAGGAATTTGTGAATTTCTTCAACTTAATGTCCTTTACGCAAGGGATTTTTACCAATTCTGATAAAATGGCCAAAAAGTGATTATTAAAGGCTCATATTCTAATGCGTAAAAACTGTTCCATCATTCTCAATGCCGTCACACGAAAGGGATCGAATCCTACCTTACCTTGTGCACTACCCCTTTGGATGGTACAAAAAATATAAACGTGCAAGTCTCATTGGATTATATATCCGAGACAAAAGGTGGCTTATTCCTAACGCGGGATCCCCTATGCGGCATTCCCTCTAAAGTTGATGTATGATGCCAGTTTATTAAAGCGGTTAAATATGCAATGAAATAATTGACATATGATCTAAAAGTGCCCCATTTAAATGCCGGGGTAAGCCTAAATGAATGCATATATATACATAGTATTAATGCGATAAACTAAAATTTAAACGTCTATTTACAAAGGGTGGTCTGCCTTAACGAATACCACGTCAGGACTCTTATTTCTAAGGTTTGTGAATGCAGTGGAGACAAAAATCAAGAAAAGTTAGTTCAATCAGATAAATTCACATAACACATTGTAGCAAAGTAATACACAGAGATAAAACAATAAAAAGAAAAGAGGGATTGGATCCCTCCCCTCGTGAATAGTGTTCCTAATAGGGTAAGACAGACTCTACCTTAGGTAAACTATCATGGATGCATGAGGTATTGGCTTACTAATGCATCTAGACTCGATAGGTTTTAGGTCCCCGAGCCTTCAGACTTGGAAACCAAAGGTCATCAACCCCAAGGTTCTTTGTCGGTGGCTCGAGCGATTCCCCAGACATTGCTACGCGCACGTCGTGCCACGGCCACATGTCCAAGTGAATCTATCAAAAATCCTCAATCTTCGACTAAAAGCTAAAGGCTATCAACCCAAAGCTTAAAATGGAAGATTGAGTGACCCCTCGGATCATGCTACGCACACGTCGTGTCGCGATCACACGTCCAAGTGGGTCGCCTAATCCTAACAGGGAAGAGTGGCGTGACAAGCCACTAAAAGAAAAATAAATAAGGGATAAAAAATAAAACGTATGCACGTATGCCAGTGCTCGGTTTGGAGGGGAGGGATCGAGAACCAATGCGAGGCTCTAGGGTAATATTCCCCACCCCAAATGCAAAGCGCGATACATATAATAAATAAACAAAAGTAAATAAATAAATCATTCATCACATATACGAGGAACGATAAACGAATACGAGGGTGAAATGCAAAATATCCTAAAAGAGAAAAATGCAACCTAAAACATCCAAATATGATAAATATAAGGGTTAAAAAGAGAAAAGACGACTAAACCAAGTGCTTGGACTCTCTTACGTCCCCAGTGGAGTCGCCAAGTTGTCGCGCCCCATTTTTCGCGATGGAAAAGAAAAATAAAGTGTAGGTTTATAAAAGATATGATTTATTTTAAAAATAAAAGGACCTAGAATGGGACTTAAAAAGAATGCGACAATTTGGGTCCAAAATTTAGTCTAAAAGGGTTTTTAAGAAAAAATAGGAGTCGCCACTTGGTATGGAGTTTTGGTGTACCAAGTCACCCAAAAAATAAAGTAAAAAAAAATAAAACCCTTTTTGACAACTCCAGGTCTTTGAAAACAAGAGAAAATGGATTCGGGAGTCACGGTTGAAGAAAGGGAAGGCAAAGGTTCGATTAACTCAAACCTAAGGCACCCTTTCAACCTAGTCTAAGCTAGTTGCGAGGTTTAGTCAAAATTTTCCTAATCTAACCCTTAATTTATCACATTTGGATGTTTCTATATGCAAATCTAAAAAAATATCGAAAGGGAAAATGTTCATTCAAGGGTTTAATTGAACCAATCGCATTAATTGCGAAGGCCAAAAAAATTCCTTGAAAGTGTCACGAGTATGCAAATGATGAAAAAAAAAAAAGAAAGAAATTAAATTAAATTATATACATATATATAAGTGATCAAAGAAAAAGGGAATGCAACATAAAGGGTACGGGAGGCAAAAACTCGTGACATAATTTTCTTATACATGGATTAATAGGGTATTTAAACTAAAAGTTATAATCACCCATTTCCCATGTTTGAAAAATAATTATCCTAACATGAACAAGCAAATGAACTAGCTTAAATGAGATGCAATTCTAAATGACATGATTACACTATAGGGTAGGGATAATATAATAGGAAATATCATGCAAATGAGAAAAGATCCTAAAAATGAAAATATGCATGAAAATGTAGTGAATAGCACACAAAGATGAATCTAGCGCAAGAACCTAAAGGGTCTAGCGTTGGACTAGCCCATTTCTAAAAATCCTTACTAGCGTTGGACTAGCAAGTAAGCGGAGGGAGAAACCACAACTAGCGTTGGACTAGTGTGGTGACGTCATGCATTAACAATTCATAGTGAAACAAATAAACATAAATTAAAACAAATAAACACATAAGAGCACGTAGCACATAACACGTAAACATAATATCTAGATGCCAAAATCCTAAGAAAAGGATAAAACACATAACACATAAGCCACATAAACACGCAACCTATCTATTACATCGGGGAGCGCCTAACTACAATCTAGAAGGGAAAAATATAATAAAACAAATCTAATTATCCTATCTATTACATTTTTGAGGTATTTAAATGCCTCTGAATCATTTAAAAATTAACTAAAACAATATATAAGAAAATTTGAATGAATATTTAAATCAAATAAATAAAGCATATAAAAATATAAACACATAGGAACACATAGAGCACATAAGAGCACGTAATTGACATTGAAATAATAAAATAGGGTACCTCCCGTTTGAAGTGGTGACTAAATGGAGTCAAATTGTCCTATTTATACTCACAATGAACAAAAGAATCATGGCACCAATTTAATTGAAAAAATAATAATAAAAGTACTAAATTCACATAATATGTCAAACGTAAAGAAATTTAAGAAATCTAAAAATTACAAGTTGAATA